GGGGGCGGTGCCTGCCATCGACTTGGCGGCAGGAGCTCGGACCTCAGGCGTGATGGCGAGCGGCCGGGGTGGATAGCCGCGCTGCGGGAACCGCTTGTGTACCGAGGGCGTCGGGGAATGTGTGTCCAACTCACCTCCGTTAACCGTTGAAAGGAACGGCCACAGCCGTCACAAAATCCTGTCGCCTTGAAGCAGGAGAATAAGGGATGTCGGAGGCCGGCACTCCCACCAGGCTCAGTTACTCCGATTGGGGAAGATGGCGTGTAGCGCCCGGCAGCTAGAATCAAATCTCCCAGGAGCGAAGACCTAAGGGTCAGAGAGAACCGAGGAGAATGACGGTGTTGGGTAATGTTAGACATGAGCAGAGCAAGGACGATGGTCCAGGTGCGGAAACTCCCAGATGCCTAGCCAGGGGCCAAACAGGAACCTCACCCCCAGGTAGCCGTCCCGCCCTACCGTCTCACTGGCTTGGACCCCTGGTCTTTCTTTCATAGCGCTGCTCAGGCGGTTCAGGCACCCTGACCTTTTCCTCCCTGAGGACAACATCTAGGCCTCAGTTGTATTTCAGCTCCAGGCCCAGAAAAGCACCAACGCCCTACCGTCTCACTGGCTTGGACCCCTGGTCTTTCATAGCGCTGCTCAGGCGGTTCACACACCCTGACCTTTTCCTCCCTGAGGACAACATCTAGGCCTCAGTTGTATTTCAGCTCCAGGCCCAGAAAAGCACCAAAGCAAGACAAGTGAGGCTGTGGCTGCCTTGGGACCAGCTGCATTGACTAATGACCCTAGGGCGGCCCTGGCACCCGCCAATCTGTGGAGACCAGGACCCTGAAAGAGCACACCTGGGAAGCTGGTGAATATCCTATTAAGACCCTCCCCTAAGATTTCTACCTACAAGAGAGAGATACATATGCTCAGGACAAAGGACCCAGTGCCTGCTCTCCCTCCAAGGAGCACACGGGTGCCATTCTCTTCCCCCACAGGCATGTATCCCCTAAAGCTCTATCAGCGGTTCTCAACCTGTGGGTCGCGACCCCTTTGGCGGTCGAACGACCCTTTCACAGGGGTCGCCTAAGACCATCCTGCATATCAGATATTTACATTATGATTCATAACAGTAGCAACATTACAGTTATGAAGTAGCAACGAAAATAATTTTATGGTTGGGTCACAACATGAGGAACTGTATTTAAAGGGCCAGAAGGTTGAGAACCACTGTTCTATGCAATTCCTTGTTTCACTATTCTAAGTATACTAGAGGCCCAGTGCATGAAAATTCATGCACTGGAGGGGGTCCCTCAGCCCAGCCTGCCCCCTCTCACAACTCAGGAGCCCTCAGGGGCGGTAGTCCACCCGGCTGTCAGGGGAAGGCAACACCCCCATCACACCTCTGCTGCTGTCACTGCCTGCAGCGCAAGCCTCGGCTGGCCCTGGGCAGCTGGACAGCAACTATCTGAGGCTTGCCTGTGCCTCAGGCTGGCCCTAGGCAGCTGGGCAGCCGCCATCTGAGGCTTGCGCCTCGGGCGGGCCCTGGGTGGCTGGGGGGCTGAGGGCGGGTCCGTGCGACTGCCCCGCATTCCCATCCCAGGCTGGGCTGAAAGGACTGTGGGACTCCGGCAGGGCGGAGGGGACTTAGCGCCACCATCTTGTGGCTATGGGCACCTCCATCTTTGTGACAGTGTGATGGGCAATTTACATATTCCCTTTTTAAAAAAATATATTGATTTTTTACAGGTCTGTTCTATGCAATTCCTTGTTTCACTATTCTAAGTATACTAGAGGCCCAGTGCATGAAAATTCATGCACTGGAGGGGGTCCCTCAGCCCAGCCTGCCCCCTCTCACAACTCAGGAGCCCTCAGGGGCGGTAGTCCACCCGGCTGTCAGGGGAAGGCAACACCCCCATCACACCTCTGCTGCTGTCACTGCCTGCAGCGCAAGCCTCGGCTGGCCCTGGGCAGCTGGACAGCAACTATCTGAGGCTTGCCTGTGCCTCAGGCTGGCCCTAGGCAGCTGGGCAGCCGCCATCTGAGGCTTGCGCCTCGGGCGGGCCCTGGGTGGCTGGGGGGCTGAGGGCGGGTCCGTGCGACTGCCCCGCATTCCCATCCCAGGCTGGGCTGAAAGGACTGTGGGACTCCGGCAGGGCGGAGGGGACTTAGCGCCACCATCTTGTGGCTATGGGCACCTCCATCTTTGTGACAGTGTGATGGGCAATTTACATATTCCCTTTTTAAAAAAATATATTGATTTTTTACAGGTAGGAAGGGAGAGGGATAGAGAGCTAGAAACATTGATGAGAGAGAAACATCGATCAGCTGCCTCCTGCACACCCCCAACTGGGGATATGTCTGCAACCAAGGTACATGCCCTTGACTGGAATCGAACCCGGGACCCTTTAGTCCACAGGCCGATGCTCTATCCACTGAGCCAAACTGGTTAGGGTACATATTCCCTCTTTATTGGATAGGATTTTTGCTGCCATCATGGACCCAGTAATACCCTTTGGCTCAGGGCTATGTAGCCCTTCCCTTTGGCTACCCCATCTCCCATTCCCTTTTTCTTAAAAAAAAAAAAATCAGTTTTTCTTTAATCACCATCTGAGATGGCTATTTAGCCTGTCTGTCCACCACCAACTTTAACCTTTCAGGAAACAATTACAAATTGCTGTCCATAAATATGTCAATTCATTTCATCCTCTCTGCAACCTTGTAAGGTTAAGTGGCAGTAGAATCTTCTTTTTTTTTTTTTTAAATATATTTTATTGATTTTTCACAGAGAAGAAGGGAGAGGGATAGAGAGTCAGAAACATCGATGAGTGAGATCGAACAGGTGCCTCCTGCACGGCCCCCAGTGGGGATGTGCCCGCAACCAAGGTACATGCCCCTGACTGGAATCGAACCCGGGACCCCTGAGTCCGCAGGCCGATGCTCTATCCACTGAGCCAAACCGGTTCGGCAGAATCTTCTTTACAAAAGAACTGAGACACAGTTTAAATATTTTTTTGTTTGTTTGCTTAAAATCACAGCTAGTAGTAGTAGAATTCCCTGTAAACATTGAACTGGATACCGGGGTAATTCTTCAAGTTGTTTATAATATTGACATATTGGAGACACCTAATTTCTCTTCAGCTAGGGGAATGGCTAAATTAACTATGGAATATCCAGTTACAGAACACTATTGTAATACGAACACAGAAAGTTCCCTAGGATGTATTTTGAAGTGGAGAATAAATGCAAGTTACAGAACAATATGTTTTTAGTCATTCTTTTTAAGCCAAGCCTCTGTCAATGCTGTTTTATTGTGGTACAATTTTGTCTAGATGAATAAAAAAAGAACTGGAATAAACTGAGAGTAGTGAATAGGGGAGTGTTGGGGGACAACATAAGGATTGTGAGAGTTATGGTAAAGCAAAACTTTATCATTATTCATGAGATTTGTTGAGGGAGGGTTTGTGTGGTCAGAAAAATTATATACTTTATATAATATGAAATTAATTTTAAAATTTTACTAAAAATTGCATTTTTATCCTTTGAGCACCCACTCTGACATAAATGGCATTTGAATAATTTGAGAAATAAAATCCAGCCTTAAGAGGTGAAGATTTGAGGATTATGAGAATATGAACATAAAAAAAAAGCATTCTCAGGGAATCCCAGAAGAGAACATAAAAAGTAATTTTAATCAGTGTAGTATTTCATTGTTTAGTCTTGGGGAGCATAAAATAAATCAGTGTTACCCTAAAACTGCTCCAGGTCTACATTACAAGCTCAAATTGGATGGAAACTCAGAGGTATTAAGTATTCTTTCAAATATGCATCCTGCTATTTTAGTAAAAATATTTTATAGCATAACTTTAGAAAATGGTCATTATTGCTTATCAATATTAATGATTTGCTAAAATGGCTGTACAGTCTTGTAGCCCTGTATGAAAATTGTTAAACCAAAAAGTTTCTAACATCTCTTGCACATTACTCTGGGTCTGAGGCCCCAGCATGAAAACGGTAAGTCCAGAGATTGAAATGGGAGTGATCCACTCTAATTGGCAGTAACCCCATGAAATTGCCATTTAAAATGTGTCAGCTGACCTAAGGAATATCAAGAAACAATTTGGGGAAAAAAAATGATTTGGAATTGGGATCCCTTAGTTATTCACCTTATTCTGGAAAGTAAAGAGGAAAGCTGACATAGATATACTCACCTGAAAAGTTCCTTTATATCTGGGACTTCCCTTTTTATGGTGGGCAAGACCCCATTAGTAAAGGATTCTAATTCTGATGACATCATAACTGTTGCCTGGTAGTCAGACAGATCAACAGCATTTTCACAAGGCGTTGGCTTAGGTCATTCCTGACCCTGATAAGATACTGAAATCGAGTTTAGCATATGTATTAATTATTGCTGTGTAAAAAATTACCCCCAAACAAGCATTTCTTTTCTACCACAGTTTCTGAGAGTCAGGAATCTGCAGGCACTGTAGCTTGTGTTTCTAGCTCAGTCTTGAGTTTACAGTCAAGCAGTTGTCCTGCGCTGCAGTCATTTTAGGGTTCTATTGGGGATGAAGAACCTGCTCCAAACGGCACTTCCCTATTGTTGGCAGGACTCAGTTTCTCATCACAGGGGCCGAGCCATAAGGCTGCTCACAAGAGCAAGATGGAAGCCACAGTGTCTTTTGTCTTGTCTTGTTTATCCTCACCATAGGATATTTTTTCCATTGAGTTTTTTTATTTTTATTTTTTGAGAGAGTGGAAGGGACAGGGAGAGACAGAAACATTGATGTGAGACATCAATTGGTTGCCTCTCAGACCGGGATACAGTGTCTTCTAAACCAGAGACTTTAACTGCCATGCCATGCAGCACATTGGTGTGCCGCAAGAATTTTTGTCAGATGGCAAAAAATAAATTTCTTGATGTGCCACAGAATTTTAGTAATTAGCTTATGCAATACCTGACTATTGAGTCAGGGGCATTGGCCTCTTTTCCCTTAGGATGTCAAATTAAAAAATGACAACAACCAATACAGCAATAGCTGTCCAGTGTGAACGAATCAAACGTATACCTATTTTTTTGTCGACGGCAAAAAATAAATTTCTTGATGTGCCACAGAATTTTAGTAATTAGTTTATGTGTGCCATGAGATGAAAAAGGTTGAAAATCGCTGTTTTAAACTAATCTCGGAAGTCTCATACCATCAATTTTCCATATGCTAATGATCATCTAAACCAACCTTAGCACATTGTGAGAGGAACCTTGAAAAGGGAAGCAGAGATCATTGGGGATCAGCTTGAAGGCTAGCAACCATGGTGTGGTACCATTTCCCAAACTCTCACTGATAATTACTAATAATTACTAATCACTGGTAATTACAGGATGGCTAGAACTGTAGTTG